ATAATTAAATGCCCCCAATTTCCATTCACCACGGTCTAAATTTCTTGCCTGGAGCTTTCATTCACCGAGTTTCAGTGCGCAGCTTTCATAGGAACGATTTCATAGATGAGCTAAATTCTGCCCTCACCTAAAATGCACACATCTACACACGAGTTCACACATGTTGGCATACAAACATTTTCCCCTTAGGTGCCATGCGAACAGAAGCCCTGCCTAAATTTTTCTCTCTCTCACTTCAAGTTCTGATGACAATTAAAATGTTTCTATTGTCACCATGACTCAGATTATTTAATACTGCACACATCAATAAACAAAGCAACATCTTACTAAATTCATTAGTTGTCCCTTTGAAATATTTTTGCTCTCTTGGCATTCATTTGTTGTTTCTTCCATACCTTTTGTTTTGGTCAGCTCAGCTCTATACAAGTAACTACCTAGCTTTCCTGATAAGGTAAAGTATTACATGTTAAGGAACAAGGCAGGTAGATGGAGGTCAAAGCATATAATCAGCCATAATCCAGCTGAATGGTGGTCAGAGTTCAAGGGGCACTTAATATCACTTGCTTGGTCAGGATGATTCAGCTCCAGTAGGCACAGCATTTGACAACTGAAGCATTTGAATTTCTAATGTAATGAGTGGAATTAGTCCATTTGAAGGAAGTCGTTCATATTTAATGATATTTGTAATGCCTACAAGGTATGAGGAGAGAGATTCTAATTTGTGTTTTTTAAAACTACATCCTCTTATTTAGATTTTCTTAAAAATGGACACTTTGCTAGACTGACAACATGGATGCCATTGATCACATGACGCCTGTTGACCACAATTTCTGGAAAGTTCTGACCAGCAGTAATCAAAGGACAAACGCTTCGATCATCCTCCTGGAATGCGATACTCCTGGTATTGTATGAATATTCCAGCCAAGTTAATTCAAAGAACTAGTAGACCAGATGTCTACCACAGCCAGTGAAACTAAGGACACCACTGAATCCTTTATGGATTCATCTAGTGCAAGTTATTCCACAGTTACCTCCTCAAAATACAATGGTTTCTGAAGAAGGAAATCAAAACCATCTCAAAGACATTATCTCCCCACCTGGAAACCCTGGTCACATCAACTGCTGGATTATTTAAATCAGCTTCAGCTGTACAGTTTTGACACTTTCATTAGTCTGCTTGTAATACCAAAAGAGTAAGTAGCTCCAGACTCAGCTAAGCACATGCCTCTGATTTCTCAAAAATATCTATTTTCTTAAATTTAACCAGTGTTTTGACTGCAAAGTGAACCAACTTTTAAGATTACACTCAGTGCACCTTCATCAGCAATTTGAGAATGTCCAAGTTCCTCTGAAAGAGGCTGTTCTACACAGCCAACTGAAAGAACCTCAACTAGACAGTGACATCACAGATTTGCAAATTCATAATGAATTCTGATATTTTTGGTTTTAAATAATTGTAAGTTCTCTCTTTTCCTTCCTGATTTCTTTCTTTCTTAAACCCTAAAGAAATTGCTGTGGGTCTTTTTTAATTGGACTTCCAAACAGGATGTAGGCAAACAGACCACCATTCAACTTTTAAAGGGGAAAAGTATGAAAAAAAAATTAAAAATCAACTCCTGCTACAGACTGGAAAGAGGGACAGTAAAAATCACTCAATATACCTCTTCCTTTTGTCCCTGACACATCACTTAGAATATCGGAAATAGTTGAACGTAAAGAGACAATCATATTTTAGCACATTACAGTCAAATGGGGGGAAAGTTAGCAATCAATATTTGTAACAAATTTCATACTAAATGGAAAAAGCATTTACTAGTTTGAAGTTGCCATTTTCTTAAATAGCTTGCCTCTCAGATGATACATTTTCCGAAATGCGATGGTGAGATATTTGAGTGGTGTGGGAGAATTCCCACAATCAAGTCAATTATTCTTTTTTGTAGCACTGTATAAATCCTTAAAATACTTTGAAGAGTTGATCTTTTTATATATTTGTGCAAGTTTGACAGTTATCAGCTTACACAGCCTAGGGCTGTTCCACAATATGGCAACTTAAACCTAAGCTTCAACTTAATATGTTTAATGAACGTTACTGCATAAACTTTTAACCAGAAATGTCAGAGCGGGAACAGAAATAATTAAAATGAGTTTAGCCAGTTCCTGTGGTATTGTACCACACTGCTGTACAATAACTAAGATTGCCTATATATGAGGAATCTCTGCTTGAATGCATTGTTTTTTTCAGCACAATGTACTTAAGAACAGTCAAATAAGCAGAAAGTACCATAGAAATTCAAGTATAAATGACATCCCAGACATTTCAAGGTTCTACAAAGTTTTGGAATAATTTAACATTATCGTTCTACATTGGTCCAACCCAAAAAAGAACTCTCCCACATCGAATTATTCATGATTCAAGTTTGAGCTATTTTCCCCACTTTGAAGGCCTTTGATGAGGCTCTTAAAATTAAAGAGTGTCTTGTAGGAGCTAGGACACTAATAGCCACATTTTACAAGCTTTTGAATTTTTAAAAAAATGAAGAAGCTGACCATTGTGCCTCAATATAATAAGAAACAGCTCTTAAGGTTTTTAAAAAAGTCATTTTCAATTGTTTAAAATTGAATTACTCACAGATAGTAGACTCTAATTAAAATTGTTTACTTTTGTTAACCCTTTCTCAGTTGCGAAGTAGGCCAGTGACTATACAGAAATCTAGCATGAATATTTGCTTAAAATTACATTCTCAAACTTTGTCTGATTGTACTAATTTGTGTCAGAATTTGCACTCAACAATATGCACAGAAGCCGAAGGGAATAAACTTTTGTACACTACTTGAACATAGATCACTGAATGCATTCAAAGTGGAAAATCTGCCCCAGATTGTGCAACTCAGTTTTCTCAGTAAACAAGAAGGAAACAGAGGGAAAGTTGAAAGTAAATACTGCAGATGCTGGAATCTCAAATAAAATAGAAAGTGATGAAACTCAGCAGGTCTGGCAGCATGTGTGGACAGGGAAGGAGAGTCACTGCTTTGAGTTCAATTTGACTCTTCAGAACTGAAGTGCAAGGTGGAAAAGTAAAGGGTTTTACACTGTACTAAAAGGTGGAGAGAAGCAAGTGAACGGAAAGTAAGGTTGGGGCAGGTCAAGTAGCAGAGATTAGAGAACACAGGTATCACAGTACAAAAGGCAAAGAAGCCGTAATGGTTGAAGAGAGGGGAGGCAGGTCCAGAGTGTTAACTGCAGAATGCTGAGCTGCTGAAAGCAAAGCTAAGAAAATCAAACACGGGAGATGGGGTTAACTAAATAGGTACAGAATTCATGGTGTGAAGTTGTTGAACTCAATGCTGCATCCAGAGTCTATAAATTGACTATGTTCCTCAGCTTGTGTTGTGCTTCACTGGATCACTGCAGTATGAAAGCATGGTGATGTACTAAAATTGTAAAGACTGAAATTTTTTATTTTCGGTATTTTTGATTGTAGACCGAATTGGGAAATGGACTGTTTGAAAGGTAAATATTGTAGGTGTTGTTTATACTGCTGCTTGATCAAACAGTGAAGGAAGGTTACTGCAGCCAGGCCGACATCAGGTGGTGTATACGAAATGAAATTCAGCCAGAAACAAGTAGCTGATTGATCTATGAAGTGGTGATCAGTCAGTGATGACAAAATCCTTCTGCCTGCCGACAACTACGTGATTGGCTCTCAGTTAGCTGGGCAGTTTATGAGTGTGAACGATATGGCCAGATGCTTTTGGACCTCTGAAAGGGGATGTGGTATTTCTGTCTGCATTGAAAATTACCCCAAGCCCAAAGAAAGCCAGTTTATCTTCCATCACTATTCCTGCATGTTGTTGCTTTTAACCGATAAGTCAAAGACTTTATCATTTGTGAACCAGTTGCTCTGTGCCTCCTGCAAGGAAGTGAAAGTACCTGAAGTGAGATTGAAGATGAGCAAATCCTGGTAAGCAAAAAGGATCATCGCCCTGTTGCAAATGCAATTGAACTGCCCTCCCAATTTTTCCCTCCACCAGTAACATCAATGCTTTTATGCCTCTGTGTGTAGGAGAAAGTTTATAAGGGCATTTGAGTTTTAACTAGTAGAGTTATATGTTGATAGTTCATAGTTGTTCACCTACAGATAAAAACTATTTAGTTGTCATAAACAGTAATTCTTGTTAAGTAGAGAAACCTGGTCTGTGTTTCCTGTTAGCCTATCTAAAAGGTAGGCTAAAGGCAGGTAAATTTGGGGATTTTGCATATTTTGATACAATCTTTAATGTTGTGATGACTCCGGGAAAATCAGAGCTTGATCTACAGCACACTACACCAGTGAGCCATGACAAAATGGAAAAGGACTGTCACTTTGGAGTCATGCTTGCAAATTGAACGGCAATTTTGTACAAGGCAGGCAGCCTGCATTTGAATTTTCCAATGTAGAGCACTGTGAGCAGTGAATACAATAGACTAGATTGAAAGAAGCATGAGTCTTGGTCGTGGAGTAAGGAACACATGTCCGAAGAGCCAATGAGAAGTTAGCATCATCAAAACAGATGGGAAAATGGAATGGAGCCCTTACAAGAAGCAGGGTGTGAGAAAATGTAGTTGAGGTAACCAGTAGGAGCAAAGTCGCTCTTGGAGAAACTGTCATCTGCTTCATGCTGGATGGTAATAACAGAAACTGGAAGCAAATCACAATCATGCTCTCAGCGCAAATGGTTCATTATTCTGGGGATCCATAACAAAGGAAGGAGAGGATAATAAAATTATAAAACAATCCTGATCAGAAACATTTTCATAATTGTCAAAAGTAAGTACCCAAAAATTATTTTAATTATTAATTAACAAGTTAAGTCTATGCGCCAAATCTCACAGCACAAGATATTAAAGAAGGTACAATAGGCAGAAATCAAGTTAGAAGGTTCTGCAGCTTAGAAATGAATTACATACCATTTTTAGACTGAACAAATGTTTTATCAAACTACATTTTCATGAAACTTACCACTTCTTCATCTGACAGTTCCCGTCCTTGAATGCTGCTATTCTCCCGTACAGCTTGTTGGTGTTTTCTCCCTTTTATGTGGCTGAAGAGATAGACCTCAGAGGTGATCTTTGGAACAGAAAGTGACATTTTCTAAGTAATTTCTCCAAGCTTCCAATATTAGTTAATATTGGTAGGATCTGCACAAGGACAATCAGTCATCAGCACAGAACTGCACACCAGCTAACCAATTATATTTTTAAAAAATTCAATTCCTACATCAATAAGACTTTTATTTTGCATAGTGTAGAGAAACCTGTTAGAACTTCAAGAAACCAAATGAAATCCTTTGATGCAACAGCCTCATTATTTTTGTTAGCAATCAATCCACAAGCCATCTGCATTCACACTACATACCAATCTTCTCTCTCTAGAAACACACGAGTACATTAATATTGTTCTTTTCAAAATACTCCCTAAGTACGTAATTCCAAAACATATTCACTTCTCATTCCATCCGACTTCTCCCTCCTTTTCAATAACTTTATCATTTGTGCCATTTTTCTTGGAACAACTTTGCCAAATCCCTTAAAAAAATTTTAATTAGGTCACCTTGAACCTTCCTCGTTTTCCATAGGATTGATTTTTTCAACTTTTGCCTTCTGGTCAGGCAATACAATATTTACACTAGTCCTCAGCCAGATCATTGAAAGTTGAAGCACAAACAGTAGAACTTACCAACACGTTGCACAAAGAACAATGTTTTTTGCGTTCATATGGAGTAAGTTTGGGTGCGTAGTCAGTGTTAGCGTGTCTCCCACTGCTAAGCTCAGCTGCTTTTTCTTTTCGTTGTTCTATCTGCTCCATGTGCCTCCGACTGCTCTCGTCATGCTGCATAAAAGCAAAACATACGCAAAAATTACTGTCTGCAACAACTGTAGCACTTAGTGCTTTTCCGCTGTTTAAATCTACAATGGAAAACCAAATAACAACCTGTGCCCTTTGTCGTTTTTCAAAAGGGGCTGAAAACAGTAAAACAAGTAAATATAAATCAAGGTGCAGAGCTGGATGAACACAGCAGGCCAAGCAGCATCAGAGGAG